GAACTTATGGTCACAGAGAAAGGTATTTCCAGATTTGCAAGGATTAAGGGAATACACCACCAGACACTCATCTGAGCACAACACCACAGCCTTAGGACCCCAGCACAGAGGAAGCCGGAGGCAGGGCTGCCCTTGCGCTCACTGCGAGACCGGAGGGGAGGTCAGAGGGTGGGGAACAGTGACTCGGTGCAAAATCGGGAGCCGTGAAGGACATCCCCAGGGCTGACTTCATAACCCTGGCTGTGTGGGCGTGGAAGCACCCCTCCAGCGGGGTCACCGCGGTCGGGGGACAGGTTTACAGGGAGCACGCAGATGCGGGGAGCAGGCTCGCGGCTGCTGTCACGGCTGGGAGTTGGGGTTCCACCTGAGGACACAGATCCGGGAGTTGGGGTTCCACCTGAGGACACAGAGATGGGAGTTGGGGTTTCCACCCAGGGGGGGGGGAGGGGGGGGGGGGGGGGGGGGGGGGGGGGGGCACCTGAGGACACAGAGCTGGGAGTTGGGGTTCTACCTGAGGACACAGGAGTAGAGTTCCTCTGGGACACGGTTGGTTCCACCTGAAGGACACAGAGATGGGAGTTGGGTTCCCACCTTGAGGCACAGATCCGGGTTGGGGTTCCATGAGACACACCAGATCCGGGGATTTGGGGTCCACCTGAACACACGAGCTGGGAGTTGGGTTCACCTGCAGGACCAGATTCCGGAGTCTGGGGTTCCACCCTGAGGACACAGATCGGGAGTTGGGGTTCCACCTGAGGACACAGAGCTGGGAGTTGGGGTTCCACCTGAGGACACAGAGCCGGGAGTTGGGGGTTCCACGCTGTGGACACAGATCGCGGAGTTGGGGGGTTCCACCTGTGGACACAGTCCGGCGAGTTGGGGTTCCACCTGAGCGACACAGACCGGAGAGTGCGTGGGTTCCAGCCTGAGGACACAGAGGTGGGAGCTTGGGGTTCTCACCTGAGGACACAGAGTCCGGAGTTGGGTTTTCCACCTGAGGCACCAGAGCCGGGAGTTTGGGGTTCCACCTGAGGACACAGATCCGGAGTTGGGTTCCACCTGAGGACCACAAGACGCTGGAGTCTGGGGTTCCACCTGAGGACACAGAGCTGGGGTTTGGGATCAAGCAATGCTCCTGCCTCAGCCTCCCGAGTACCTGGGACTACAGGTGCACATCACGACGCCCGGCCCGGCTAATTTTGAACAATTAAAAGAACAATTTACAAATAAGACAAAATAATCAGTGTTATGCACTAATCAATTTAGCAGCTAACTCTAGAAAGCCCAGTTATTTAAAAATACAAGGCGAACTTCATAAAAGCAGCATGCCAATAGGAATCACAAGGTACCATTTTCAGAATGAGGCAATTTAGTGGATGATCAATCAATCAATCCGGCTTTAGAGAAATTAAACCACAGAACCAGCAGACCTGATTTAGCAGAGGCAGAAACATTTGTTACTGAATAGAGATTATACTTTTTTCAAAGACCCATTGAGCACTTATAAAAATTGATAATGTACTTAGTGACAAAGCCTTAAGAAAATGTAAAAGGCAGAGATTTTCTTTAGTCATTTCCTAGAAAATTGAGAAATAAATTAGCTAGTAAATTTTCACCCTCCTCTCCCCCCAAACCCGTTGCCCCGTGGAAAGTAAGAATTGCACTTAGACGGTCCCTTCGTCTTGGGAACGGGTCTGGCGCAGGCTGAGAACCTGCGGAAGGCGGGTTACCACGGTGGGCATCCGCTTCCGACGTGACCGTCCGGGCTGCGCGGGGGCAGGCAGCAGGTTGCTCCGAGCGCCCAGCCCCCCACGATCAGGGAGAGGGTCCTCCCCGCGGTCCCCAGCGGCTCTCCGCCACACCTGTATCCCCCAGGGCAGGCAGGAGGGTGGGGCCCAGGTCACTCGTGCTCACCTTCCTTGGCCAGAGGTGTCAGGTGGCCATGCCCAGGTCCAGGAACTCGGGGAGACGCAGGTTAGCCCCCGGAGGGAGTGTGTCCAGTAGACCGGGGGCTCTGTCACTGCAGGGAAAGAGGAGGATGGGCTTGGGAAGACAGCTAGACTCGGCGCCACGTCCTTGGAGTAAAAAGGAGACGAAAACTGAAAACGAGCGCTGACCCGAGCTCAGTGGAAAGGAAGGCTCCTCTATGGGACACGACGAAAGCCATAAAGCCTTCATTTTTGGAGAAGGAAGACTAAAACTAAGGAATTAATTTATCACCTTAAGAATGTGTTAGAAAAAGAGATGGAAATGACGGAGACAGTAGGTGATAAGATAAATACAGAGCAAGCAAACCCGACAAAAGAGACACAGCCCTGCACTCCCAGCAAGGGACAAGGGGGAAAAGCAGATGTGACAGAGACAGGAAGACGTAACCAAAAGTCGGAAGAGATTTAAAATATTTTTAAAGAAAACTTCATATAACTCTTCATCTAACTCTTCAATAAAATTAAAGACCAAGAAACAAGAGATGGCTCCTGGAAATGTATAAATGAGATGTACAAGTATAGTAAACATAAACGGGAGTGGGCACAGCCAACCCAGGACGAAGCGGCTGACTGAGCAGATCTCCCGCCATGGCGGCGGTTGGGGCTAGGGGAGGGGTGGGCGCCTGTGATGGGTAGGGGGTTTCTTCTGGGGCAGATGAGAATGTTCTGGAATTAGATGGTGGTGATGGTTGTGCAACTCTGTGAATATACTAAAACCCAACGCACTGCACACTTTAAAATGGTGAATTTTATCTCAATTTAAAGAAAAGCGTCTGAGAGGAGGCTCCAAGGAAGAGACTGGGAAGGGGCTTCCGGAGATGAAGAGGCCAGACCAGGTGACAGTCTTGGCGGGGCCCCACCTGAGGTTACAGGAGTGGGGGCTGGGGTAGACGCAGGGCTTCCTGTGCGCCCAGGTCGGTCGTGGGCCGCCCCTCACGCTGCCTGTGGTCCCTGCTGGCTTCTGAGCTCGGGCGAGGGGCGGTGTCCATGTGGGTCCCTCCGCGTCCCAGGTCCCCACAGAGCCTGGCCAAGCACCGGCACTCGCTGAGTAATGAGCGAAGGACGGTGCACGAGCACAAGGATGAAGACCAGGACTGCCGTTGGTTTGGGGGGTGTGGCCGTCATAGGGACTCGTCAAGGCACGGCTCTGGAGGTAGGGCGGGTGAGGTGCCTCTCTGATCTCTCTGCAGTCCCGGTGGGGTGCTGGCCCCACGGGGAGTGGACGTGGGTCACGGGCAGGGAGCCGTGAGCACGATTGCTGAGTTCAAGCGTTTCCTGAGGCCTCAGTCGGAGTTGGGGAGGGAGTGAAGGCGCTTTGGGGGTCTCGGCCTGCAGAGCGCCGGCTCGGGGTGGACCTTCTGCAGCACCAGGGGCGAGCAGGCAGGACGACGCAACCGTGCGCCCAGGGGCCTCCGAGCGAGAGCTGTTGCTCTGAGAGACTGGGGCGAGGTGGTGGCCGGAGTCCTGGGACAGAGGGGGCCAGAGCTGAGCAAGACCAACCACCAAAGGGTGGCCGGTCAGCCACTGCACGAGGACCGTTCTGCCAGCCCATCAGTGCTGTGCCTTCCAGGGATGGGGTGACCGACCCCTGCAGAAGTCATCGCCGGCCTGCGTTCTCGCTGTGAGACTTCTAAGCTCCTACCTCAAACGGCGCTCCCATTTTTTCCGTGAACCGTGCGATGGGTAGTTGGCCCGTCTGAGGTGTGGGGGCTTCGCACCCTCTCTCCCTGTTCCCGATCGGGCAACTTTTCTTTCTTTTCTTGTGAGACACGAGTAGCAGGTCTTACCTCTGTTGCCGGGCTAGAGTGCCGTGCGTCAGCCCAGCTCACAGCAACCTCAAACTCCTGGGCTCAAGCAATCCTGCTGCCTTCAGCCTCTCCCGAGTAGGCTGGGACTACAGGCCATGCGCCACCATGCCCGGCTATTTTTTTCTATATATATTAGTTGGCCAATTAATTTCTTTCTATTTATGGTAGAGACGGGGTCTCGCTCTTGCTCAGGCTGGTTTCAAACTCCTGACCTTGAGCAATCCACCTGCCTCAGCCTCCCAGAGTGCCAGGATTACAGGCGTGAGTCACTGCGCCCGGCCCCGATGGCAACTTTTTGACCACCTGGGCAGATCCTGTGGCCTTACAACTTCCCCCTCTGTCGAACGTCCATCTCCCGGGCTCCCTAGGTGGACGCTAGGCATGTCTCCCCAGGTGGACCAGGTGGACGCCAGGCATGTCTCCCCAGGTAGACCAGGTGGACGGCACGCATGGCTCCCCAGGTAGACCAGGTGGACGGCAGGCACGTCTCCCCAGGTGGACAGTACACAGGGACGGGAGGAGCAACGTGGCCTGTCCCAGGGTGCACCAGGCACCAACCCAGAGCACTTACAGATGATTTTATGAGAGTCATTTTTCCTCTTCCATTTTCGTATACAAATCTAATCTTTTGAAAACCCATTCCCTTCTAACTCACATATTATGGGCTTTCATCAATAATAATGTACAATCAATTACTCAAATGTAATTGATTAGTGGAGAGAACCTTATTTTCCCCTCTTAGTTTGTGTCTGATTGGACATCAGTGCCGCGGCTGCCCCGTGATGGTGGCTGTGCCCTTTGGCTGTGGATTATCTTTCCCTCTTAGCGGAGATTAAATTTATATACAATTTACTAATGTTGGCTTAAGAAAAACACAAAAGGCACTTTCTATCACAACCCTGCAGATGACAGCATCCCAGGGCACGATAAGCAGCCTTCGAGGTGGATTAGTGGCCAAAATTGCCTTTCGAGTTGGCCCTGAGCTTCGATCATCTTTATTTGGCCACACAGATAAATTTTTGTCATCAGAAAGTTGAGTTCCATAAATCCAATATCACCCAATTCAATAAAGAGAATCGGGGCCTGTTCTGCCCAGTCTGTCTCTCTCAGCTGAAGCCGTGACGTTTGACCGAGTCGGTGGCCGGCCGACCCCCAGCGGGGCAGAGCTGGGGCGGTGGCCGCGGGCCGTGGCGCCGTGCGCAGGCAGAGCCGCCCGCCAGCACGTGGGCGCACGCCTCTCCCACGGCGACCTGCCACCCGCCTGCAGCGCGGGGTCGTGGGGGCAGAGGGTCGCCCTGGAGGCTGGAGCTTGGCTGCACGGCTGACACCTACGGTGGCTCCTCTTGCTCCCTGGGACAAGGGCGGATGGGCAGCCACAGGGGCCGGGAGCTCGGAGGTGTCTGTGCTGGCCTGTCACTGCCGGGCTAGGACTCCTGAAGAATTGGGTAGAAACGGGGCATCCTCTGAGACCCTGACCTGCCCTTCCAGGCCCCGTGCAGGTTCCACCCCTCCACGCTGCCTTGGCCAACACCCCAGGCAGATGAGCTGCTCCTCCCCACGGACCCCGCCCTGCTCCTCGGGTCACATGGGAGGGAAGAGAAGAGGAGAGGAAGAGAAAACGGGACACATGTGCCTGCCGCCTCACAGCGTATCAGGGGACTGTCCTCCAGGAGCTTGCGAGGCAGGTGGTGCCATCCCCCTGTCACCGTCTCCTCTCTGTTCTCACCACGGCCAAGGCGGTCCCGGCTTCCGTGGGACGAGAGTCCGAACCAACTGCTCCCCTTTGTGACTGCTCGCCAGGGGCTGGGATTTTACCTTTTTATGAGCTGGCAAGGTCGCCTGTCACTGTTTCATGGTTGCTGGCAGGAGACAAGAGACTCCTGGGCCAGAGACAAGGAACCCTGCTGCTCCCGCACAGCACAGCAAGCACGAGAGCCGGCGCCCCGCCCCGGTCCTGTGAGGTGACCCAGCGCTGTCCCTAGGGCTTGCATCGCTGCGTGGCAACATGGAGCTGGGGGTCTCCTGCTTTCAGAGCGAGCCTGCTGGCGCTGACCGGGAGGGAGGTAGCGCCTCATCCTCCAAGGCTGTTGCTGTGAACACAGCCCTGGCAGAGAGGCACGCAGCAGGCAGGGACTGGCCTTCCTGGCGTGCCCAGAGTGGGCGTGCAGGACGCTCAGGGCCCAAGCCCGTCTGCTTCTCCCCTGCAACCCAGCTTCCTGCCCATACTGTGGCTTCTCGTCGAGTCACCGAGCTCCTTGGTCCTATCCTGCTGGGTCCTGCACGTTGATGCCCACCGCCCTGCCCTCCTCGAGCCAGGCATTGGTCTCTGCCTTGGTCCTGGGTAACCCCCTCTGCCCTCTGGCTGCTCTTAGTCTCTCACGTCTCCCGTGCTGGGGGCCCAGGGATCCCTCCTAGCCTGCTGTGCCGCCTCTGCCAGGAGGAACATCCGCTTCCAGGACTGCAGCCGCCGCATCCGTGACTCCCTCAGTTTCAACTGTGGAGGCTTCTTCACACCCACGCCCCTGCCAGGTGGACCTGCAGCCTCCCAGGCCTCCCTGTCACCTTGGGCAAGTCACTTTCTTGTGGTCACCCACGTCTGATGCAGGCATTTGTCTCCCTGTCTGTTAACCCCAAACCAGCAGCTGGTGAACCCCTTTCTGGAATGAAGAGGGAAATACTGCAACCTATGCATGTGCACATGCATAATACATACATGCACACACACGTACATGCACACATGCACACACATGCACAAAGATGCACACGCATGTGCGCAAACACGTATATGCGCACACACGCACACGCGCACAAAGACCCCAAGCCCCCTGAGGAAAACCCCTTCTCTTGTCCCCTTCTGCCCTTAGCACTTACTTATGCAGGCACTTTGTAGGGCCAATAACTTCCAAATTGTGGAGCCAGTTCTCAAGTACTTGCCGCATCTAGTTGCTGGGAGAAGCGAGCAGGTGACATGTGAGAAGGGCTCGGCGGGGTCCCGGTTCTCAGGCGACGCCACTCGGTAAAGCGTAGACATTTGTGTTAAAGTGTCGCCGGTGTGAGAAGCGCAGGTGGTGCTGTGCCATGAGCGCTTCTCAGCGAGGAGGACCCCTGCGGGATTCTCGAGCGGCGTCCACAGCCACCCGGGAGCCGGGGCCACAAACCCGCTTACTTCCTCAGAGCCTGTTCTGAACTTTGACCTCACAAAGGCCGCAGTGAGCCGCACACAGGGGAAGGCAGTGATTATGACCCTGTCTGTGGCGATGAGCGGGGTGACAGAGGCGCGTCTCACCCTGCAGGGGCGGGGTGTCTGGCCTGCGCTGCAGACCCTGCCGCAGTCCCTTGCCCTCCCGGGGCCGTATCTGTGTCCCCACGTGTGTGGGGGACACGTGCCAAGTGCTAAGTGCCAAGCCCCCCAGGGGACGGTGTCTGGAGACAGGGCCTCTGGGAGGCGATCAGGGTGAGACGGGGGATGAACACGACCTCACACAGGGTCTGCGCCCTCCTGGCAGAGACAGGCGCTGGCACCCACACTCTCGGGAAAGGCCACCTTCGGGCTCAGCGGAGGTGCTGTCTGCAGTCTGGGGAGAGGCCGCGCCAGGGTCCCCGAGCCTGCCAGAACCGTGGCCGGCTTGCAGCTCCAGAGCCATGCGGAAGCGAACGTCTGCTGCCCAAGCCCCCAGGCTGTGGTGCTTCGTGATAGCAGCTCCGAGCAGACAAAGACACCTGGAATCCTGAGATCACCACAGACAGTGACCCCTAGGGAGTGGCCTTGCCCGCACTGGCCATGCTGATGGCTCTGAGTGCTGGAGTTTTCTGCACTGAATTTGCTACGAAAGGTATGGGCAGGGCCACAGCATCTTACGTGCATTTGCAGGTGCCACCTGGAGGGCCTGGAGTTGGGGCCGTGGCACATCCCGCCTGACCGAGTCCTGACCCCAGGGCAGTGGCGGCAGCCTGCACCCGGCTCTGCAGGGAGGCCCCCATGCAGCTGAGGCATGTGGAGGGGCCGCCTGCCCCCTGGCCTTGTCCCTACACAACTCCACGGGTGGCAGCCAGCTTGGGAACAGCAGTGTCTCAGCCTTTAGAAGCCTCAAGCTGGGGCCTCTGTGGCATCTAGGGTCCCAGGGGCTCCCACAGGACTGGGGTGGCAGCCGAGGCGGGGTGGGGTGGGCAGTGAGTCCCCCCAACCTGGACTCTGGCACTTGGAATCATAAAGTCTGGGATGCTGAAAAGAGACACTTAACCACAGAATTCCAAAGGGACTTTCAGGTCAGGGGGCTGTGCTAGATGCCCGCCACTGCCGTGACCCCGGCTGGCTGGCTTAAATCACCAGCACTCTCAGTCCAGGGGACAGAGGTCCCAAATCGAGGTGTCACAGGGCCAGGCCCCTCCTAAGGCTCTATGGGAGGAGCCTCCCTGCCCCTTCCAGATCTGGGGGATCCCCATGGCCTTTGCCCCTACAGTTCTCTTGAACTGCATCCCCCAAAGACATCTTGAAGAACCTGTGAATGTGGCCTCACTTGGAAACAGCTCTTTGCAGATGAGGTCGTCCTGGGTTCAGGGTGGGCCCTGATCCCACGTGACGGCATCCTAACAGGACACACAGACACACACGAGACCCTGGCAGCATGCAGCAGGGGCGAGGACCGGAGCCAGGACGCCATGAGCCAGGGCTGCCGCCAACCACCACAGGGGTGGAGAAGCTTCTGCCCCAGAACAGCTGGCGGGAGCAGGGCCCTGACAACACCTGATTTCTGACTCCGGCCTCCAGAACCGCGAGGAAATACATTTCTGTCGTTTAGGGCAGCCTGTGGGGCTTTGCTACGGAAGTCATGGGAAACTAACACAGACCCTACACATGGCGGCCAGACCCCCACGTAGCTCTGCGGAGGCGGGAGTGGGGGACCCGGGCTTGGGGGTTACTCCTCAGGACGTGCAGAGCGCCGTGTCTCCCCCCGGGGTGGTCATTTTCTGAGAGAAGTGGAGGAAAAGAAATCCCTTCCGACGCTCTAAGCCCCGGCCCCGAGTGCCTGCGGCTCAATGGGGCGGGCATAATTTGTTTGCTTTGCAATTCTCTCCCCTCAGTGGAGACAAATTGATTTATATGTGGAAATGGGCTGTGGCTGGGAGGCGGCCGTCTTGCTAGGGGACAAGGGTGGCCGGGTTTGAGGATGGGCCGGTTCTGGCGGGCTGGCCGTGCCCACCCACTGCTGCCCAGCACACGCCCAGGTGCACCCTCTCCCGCACGGGAGACTAACCTGCGGCTGCGCTCTGCCCAGCTCTCCCTGTGTGCGTTCGCTGAGGTGCTCACGGGGCAGGGGTGTGCGGGACACCCGTGTGCGGGGCCCTGCGGTGCCGCAGGAGCAAGGCAGGCACAGCGCTGCGGCCCTCCCCGGCTGCGGCCTCCTGAGAAGCCAGACACGAAGGGCAGTGCTCAGAGGACGCACGACCTCGGCTGCAAGGAAGGGCAGGACATTGTTTAGCAACTAGCGACAAAAAGCGACTTAAAGAAGCCCGACGGCTGAAGGCTCCACTAGCGGGCGGCAGCCGTCTCCGGGGTGCAGCGAGGGGCTGGCGGGGCCGGCGGGAGGAGGCTCAGTGCGGGGACGCCTCTCGCAGGCCGGCGGCGGCAGGGCGAGGAGGGCACCAGAGAGGAGCGGCGCCCAGGAGCCCCTGAGAGGTGCAAGGGCGGTCCCAGGGCAGTGTCCGTTTTGTTTCTCTGGATCGCTAGTAGTTTTCAAATTCTCTATGGTGAACTTTTATCGTGGTTCAAATCGGGAGAGAGGTGACCGATGGAGTCGGCTCAGTTGATGTGGGAGGCGTCCGCGTGTTTCTGAGTCAGGAACCTGAGCTGAAGCCCTGCGGGGGCATCTCGAAGGGGCCGTTGCCCCTCTGCCGGCTCCGTGTCCCCACGGAGGGAGCAGAGCCTGCTGGACCCTCCAGCCCTGACAGTCCACGGCGACGCAAGCATGGACCGGTGCCCACTCCCACAGGGCTGGGGTTCGAGCCCGGGTTCCGGGGGCGCGGGGAGGCTTCAGGCTTGGGCGGTGCTGGCTCAAATTCCAACTCTTTCGATGACTTTTCGGCAACCCAGAGAAGGAGCTTGATTTCTCTAAACCTCAGTTTCCATCTATCAGATGGGCGTTGTATCCAATTAGCCAGGACAATTGTCACAGCCCCAGGCTGGCTCCGCGCAGCGGAAGCCGCCACGACGCAATGGGATGCATGTGCCACACGTGAGGAGCCCGTGGCTAGATTTAGTTTTCATTTAATACAAGTTTATAATGGAGATCTAGTCGCCAGGGAGAATTTATTCATGGGCTTTTAAAAAATCTGATCCCATATCCCAAAAGGCCCACAAAGCTCCCAGAGACACTACAATAAAACGGGGTGTCACTAATAAATGAGGGCGTTTGAGCAAAGGGACAACATGACGGGAAAAACCAGACGAGCTCGGAGGTGAGGGCGGCGCACAACGGAGGGCGCTGGAAATTTGGGCCTGGATTCAAACCACAGACGGAAACAGGATGGCCGTGTGAGCCACCCACCACGTCCGCAAAACGCAGCACACCCCTTATGACGAGGAAAGCCGGGTGTGCTCGCTCTGGGGCCCGAGGGAAATCGGCAGGAGAAAGCGGTGCTCGGCCCTGCGCTGCGAACGCCGCGGAGGACGCGCCGTGTGCCCTGCGCGGCGGGCTCGGCGCGGTCCTCAGGCGTGGCTGTTGCGGGTCTGTGCCCTGTGCTGTTCGCTTCCTTTCCGCCGTGCTAAACCCAACGACACCGCCTGTCCCTCACCTCCAGGGCAGAGGCGTGGAGAGAGTCCCGGGCAGGTGCTCAGCGCCAAGCTGCAGCCCTTGAAAACGGGGCGGACGGAAGGGCAGGGAGTTTGGTGCTGCTGGGTGCGGCCGCCCATGGCCGTGAGGCCGTCTCCAGAGAGGGACAGACACAGGGGTTGGAACAGGAGCAGCAGCGGCTCCCGCGCCCAGAGTCAGGGGTCAGTCGGTCTCTGGGCCAAGCCCGCGTCGCCAGAATTAATACGTAAGATAAACAGGCCCCCAGCGCCCCGGCGTTCTCCAGGCCCAGGTCAGAGGTCTGCGCGTTAGGTGTGAGAAAAGGTCTAGGGGGAACCGGGGTCAAATATTTGCAGCCCAGACAGGCTGACAGTGGCCGGCCTCGGGCCTCCCCCAGGCCAGCGGGGCTCCCGGGCTGTGTCTGGGGACGGCGGTCGCGGCGGACTCATTACTCGGAAAGGCCGCGGAGGTTGTCTGCAGCGGCTCGCGGCTGCCCGAGCTCATCAGCGTCAGCCCCTCGCCCGCGGCTCCAGCCCCGCCGGCCGCGGTTCCGGGGAGGGGCAGGGCTGACCGCCGGGGCAGGCTGTGGGGCTCGAGGGTCGCAGTCCCTGGTGCCTTGTCCTGCACAAGTGGCCCCCAGCCGTCTCGGGGAGCTCGCCACGTCGCAAGGTGCTCGAGGGAACCCTGACCGGTGCGGCCCTGCTGGGTTTTGTTGACCCGCACCCCTCCCCGAGTGTGGCCGGCCTGGGACCCTGCTGTGACGGGACAGCGCTGGGGGCAGGGAGTGCCCTGTTTAATGGTTGAGGGCCTTGGTCCAGCCACTCAGCCGTGGGGTCCTGTACCTCGTCCGCGAAGCCAGCCAGGGTGACGCGGGCAGGTCCAGCAGCCTCCGAGAGGCAGGAAGGGCGGCCTCCTTCTTGGGCGCGGCCTTTCCTCTGGACCCCGACTTCGGTTAGCGCAAGGGCTGCGGGCAGTGTTCACGGTGGCGCTGGTTCTGCGCAGATCCTCCTTGAACGTTCCGGAGTCTCTCTGTGGGGAGAGCAAGACAGAAGTCTGTGTGCCCACATGACCCTGAGGCCGATTTAAAATAGAAATGAGCAAAATAAGGCAAGTACTTGAAATCATAAATTCCTCCCGGTGCTCTTACGCAGAAATGTCCAAGCAGGTCGCATGGCAGTCAAAGCCCGTGAGCTCAAGGATGTCCCCAGCGGTGGGGCCTCTACCTAACATCCCTCTGTTCCTCCGCTCCTGAGCACTCAAGGTGGCTCTGGACACCATGCTGGTGGCTGAGGACACAGTGACAGTTAAATTGGGGGAAACAGGCAGTCACCAGGCAGGAGAGGGTGAAAGTG